AGCCACTCTCTTCCTCTGCTCTCAGTAGTCTACAGCCACTCTCCTTCCTCTGCTCTCACGATAGTCTACAGCCACTCTCCTTCCTCTGCTCTCACGATAGTCTACAGCCACTCTCCTTCCTCTGCTCTCACGTAGTCTACAGCACTTCCTCCTCTGCTCTCCATAGTTACATGCCACTCCCTTCTTGCTCTCACGATAGTCTACAGTCACTCTCCTCGCTCTGCTCTCATGAATGCTAGTCTACAGTCACTGTCCTCGCTCTGCTCTCATGAATGCTAGTCTACAGTCACTCTCCTCGCTCTGCTCTCATGAATGCTAGTCTACAGTCACTCTCCTCGCTCTGCTCTCATGAATGCTAGTCTACAGTCACCTCCTCGCTCTGCTCTCATGAATGCTAGTCTACAGTCACTCTCCTCGCTCTGCTCTCATGAATGCTAGTCTACAGTCACTCTCCTCGCTCTGCTCTCATGAATGCTAGTCTACAGTCACTGTCCTCGCTCTGCTCTCATGAATGCTAGTCTACAGTCACTGTCCTCGCTCTGCTCTCATGAATACTAGTCTACAGTCACTGTCCTCGCTCTGCTCCCATGAATGTTAGTCTACACACACTCTCCTTGCTTTATCTCACTATAGCAAGTAAATGGAAAGCAAACGACCCACCACATCTTCACTATGTTAAGTAACTACACAATAAGGCGGCTTCCTCGTTTCTCAGGAATATTTAAAATACTTATTTATTTTCTAAATGTTTCTGGTGTGGAAGTTAAGACATACTACATCTGGATTAAATATTTACTATTGTAAGTAAAAAAATTCCCACGATTAGCAAAAACTAACTACAAGGCTGAACGACAAACTGATTCATTGATAACCGTAGGAGAGAAATCCGACTTTAATAATAATGATACTGAATACAAAACTGACCCGAATAACATCTAACAAAATTCATGACAAAACACGGCACTGTCAAACAAAGGTTAACAATTCTCTCATGTCAGAGGTAGTGAACCCTTTACCAGAGCTATCTATTTATTGGAAGGATATGCACCTATAATTTCAAGATTAAACAACTTGTATTTCTAGGCTTAGCATATATCATGTCAGTGCTAAAAAACATTCCTATTACTAGGCTTAACATCTTCCAGGCGAAGACTTATATGTAAAAAAAGTGATAAACTGGTGGCAGCAGTTTAAAATTCTCCCGGTTTTTACAAGAAAAATGTCCTAAGGCATATCACTGCTAAATCCCTTTCATGTGAAGGCTACACATATCCAGTGTTAAAGTTTAACATCTATTGTGCCAAGATTAACATATGAGAGAACTCTAGACCAGACTGAACATTACGAGAAAACTGGTGGCAGCGGTGGGAATGTTTACCTGTTTTGGAACCAGACCTGCACGACTCTCATGTCGAGGCCAAGCGTCTGAGAGAGTTGTTCCCTAACGTGGCGAGCGGGTTTGGGGCTCTCTTTGTAGGCCTGTTTGAGTTGCTCCAACTGGCGCGCCGAGATGGTGGTACGTGGCCGTTTGTTTGTCGCGTCTCCTTCTGCAACAAACAGACGTCAACCGGCCGTCAGTAACAGCTCAAAAGCCTTGACACATCAACAACGCTCACAACACAAAACAGCGGCCCTCTTTTGTTTACCAGCTAGACTTAGTTTGACGATTTTGACTCTATTATCTCCATTTTTTTAATTTCATTAATCCTTATCATTAATACTATTGTATTTTAGTGATATAAATTTAGTGGAATCGATATACTGTTATGATTAACTTAAACCTAAGTATCTTAGAAACTTAATATCACATCATTATCAAAAGTTATAAAAATTACATAGAGAAATAACTTACTTTACAGGCTGTGGTACGTTAGAGTTTATTAAAAGTAAACAAGAGAAAAAAAAAAGAAAAAAAACTGCTGAGCATCATAGTTTACGCTCGAGTTTTGTGATTTACACATCAGCCATTTCGTGCTAGGGATTTACTTTAAAACAAAAGCAAACACAAAAAAGAGATAGTAAACCAACTTTTATAAACAGAGAAACACAGACTTTCACCACTGATAATAATGCAAGGAAGCAAGGAAGAGGATAACTGAAAATGGGTAAGGGAGAACCGTAGAGATAACCCACGGACTTGCTAAAGGGTTACACGTCACAGATCATGCCCGACTATACAGACGTCAAGAAATTCATAATAGCTGGACCTTAGCTTTATTATAACGTGTGAGTCGTATATTTTGTTAACGATTAATGCAAACGGATCTGGGTAACAAGTTAAAAAAAGCCAGTGAGGTTTATTAACATGAAGAGCAACATGGTCCCATTCGACATGAGGGTCGTACAGGTCTGGCTTGCATCTTACACTGAGAGAGACAAAACTGCTCCTGGAGACTTTGGTAATATAATTCACTACTACCACCATCACTATATTGGAGCCCCCTCACCACCATTTCACTCACTATAATGTAGTACCTCACCACCACCACCACCACCACCACCACCACCACCACCACCACCACCACCCCTAGCATCATACTAACACTATATGGTTACAATGATTCTTTCACCATATTCTACGTGTCCTTTACCGTTACTAAACTCATTCAATTTTTTATCCTGTGGTCTAAACAGCGAAGTAAAGAAACAAATGATTACTGCCGTTAGATTCTTGGATAATTGATGTGGAGTCCCCACAGCAGTCTTCTGCGCCCCGCCATGGAAAGATGACACTTGCTCTAAATCCCTTGACTTTCAGTTTAACAATGTTTAAGTTTAACATTTACCTCCCCATATTAATTGATATGATTTTCTTTGCAACATCTTAATATATACTCTCTACAAACTAATAATTATAAGTTATTTTGGAAACAAACAACATAATTAACAATTATATCTTTGTGGCAACATTTTGCAACTGCAAAGCTATCTTTGTTCCGTGCTAGACGGGCATCACAGATACGGGATCACCTACTTATGAAATAGAAGACTAAGATATATAAAAAACTAATTAGGTACATTATAATTTGTTCTATCCCAGAATACCTGAATATCTACTTCCAGACTACGACTTAGGTCATCATGGAATGCTACATGTGAATCTTATCTAGAGAAAAATCACTTACGATATGGTATGCTATATTTTTAAACTCATGTTTTATCTAAGATTACTGTAACTATTTTCGCTAAAACTACAAAAGCATGGCACTATTACTAATACACTTTTCAGGCATTTGTATGCCAGCAAACGACAAGTGAATGTGCTGGAAAGGCGGGGGAATATTGGCGTTACAGTTGATCCACACATTCTGTAATGAGGCTACCACTGGGCAGGCTATCCGCACACCCAAACTTGCTTGAGCACAACGTTAGTGCGTCCTTTCACTCCGGGACTCTCATTCTTCACTCGTATCTTTGATTTAGTTTTTCTCCAATCTCCTAATTGTCAACTTCGATACGACTTTCGTTCGCAAAACTTCTCTCTTCTCAAGATTGGTCGAGTTTGTTTCGTTTAATATTTAGATGTATCAAGTACTCGATGAAATATTCTTGCACTCATTCCTTAGTTAACCTAATCCATGCTATTATCAAACAAGATGATGGAAAATATTGTTCAACAAGGTAATTAATATTAAAGGTGATAGCTTAGCTATCACCTTTAATATTAAATTAAATTAATTGTCGAGTTATTTACTACTTTTTGCAGTGTTCTACACCTGACTTTTTTTTTTTTTTTGAGACGACAAAGTTGCTCTTCCACAAGTTCAAGTTAATTGTTTTAATTTTTTAGTTGTTAGTTTGTTAAGCTTAATGTTTACCTACTGCTGGCGGGTCATTAAGCTTAAAGTTTATCTACTGTTGGCGGGTTATTAACGTACAGACGTAGCAGGCTGTCAACAGCTATAACATAGTACTGCTGCATGACCCTTGTGGGCTTAGCGTTGAGTTTTGATTGCAATAATAAAAACATGACACCGAGTATTTCCTTATTTAAGTAAAACTGACTGACGCTGCCCGGAATACATCAGTTATGATAATGACAGAAGAATTCTTTCAAAACTACAGCTTAGCATTTTTTTAATTGTACATTTACTAGGATCAAGCTAATAGCAATGCCAACAGATTACAGCCTAGCCCCTCGCAAGGTCGCCTCCCCGTGACATGCAGTCTCTGTGCTTCTCTACGTTGAGGTGCTGTCAACATCACATGTAATATCTCACACCAGTGTCTCTCATTCACAGCTAATAGTACATCAGCTTCGCAGTCTTATCTTCAAGCGTTGAGTTCTAGTATTCTATCTAACTGGTAGCTCTAATACAAGTTGCTAGGTTAGCCAGGAGTTGCCGCCCGATCCATGGTGCAAATTACTAATATACAACTACCATCTAACTCCCAGAGCAGTGTTGCCGCGGCTACCAGCTAGTGTGAGAAGTGGTGCCACCTGTACAGTGTGTGTGCCACCCAGTCCACCGCTACCTTCACTCACAGCTTCCCCACTCAAGCCACACAAAACTAGAAGATGGAGTAAAGGAGTGTGGCAAGCAGACACTGGCGTCCAACAAGGCAGCAGCCAAGTGCCGCTGCTAGTTTGCCTCATTCCCGTACTATATTTTCTGATTTAGTGGCCATTGTGACTCCAGTGTTCCCCACACTCACCACTAAAACACATTATTTTTAATTTATACATCGTTTTTATTTGATAGACGTGACACTTTAACATAGTACCACGAATATGAATGAAGTTACTGACGAGGGAAGTGTTGACACTACACCAGATAAGGAGAGGTGGAGCTTCAACATGACTCTGCCAGCCTAGTGTGGAGACCAGTGGTGTTGCTGTGTGTGTGTGTGTGTGTGTGTGTGTGTGTGTGTGTGTGTGTGTGTGTGTGTGTGTGTGTGTGTGTGTGTGTGTGTGTGTGTGTGTGTGTGTGTGTGTGTGTGTGTGGGTGTGTGTGTGGGTGGGTGGGAGGCCTGGGCGGCACACAGCTCACCAGACGTACCTGTTCTGAAACCAGACTTGCACGACCCTCATGTCGAGGCCGGTGTCCGCCGCCAGCTGCTCGCGGACGTGGCGGGGCGGCTTGGCGCACTTGCTGTAAGCTGCCTTCAGTTTCTCCAGCTGGCGGGCACTGATGGTGGTGCGCGGACGCTTGCCACTCAGGTCGTCCTCTGTAAACACATGCCACCCGAGACACACAGTCAGAAGGTCTCCTGATGGGCGTGGCGGGGGCGTGGGCCGCCCTAGGTCGCCGCCGTCACCACCACCGCCGCCGCCGCCCGTGCCGAGTCAGCGGCCGCCGCCACACCACCACCTCCTCCTCTAACACTACACCTGCCTCCCGTAACTGCCACCACACCAGATAGGGAGGTTTTGTTGCCAAAGTTGAGAATATTGATGATAGCATGCGGGTGTGAGTGGGTCGTGGCGTGGGCTAGGCCGGGCGTGGGCGTGGGGCGGGGGAGGGGAGGCGGTTCTGAGGGCGTGGGTGGGAGGGGGTGGCGTCAGCAACAACACGAGAACTCAACACAACAATAAAAATAAAACTTCTACCGATTAATCTCTTGTAAACTTTTATTTTTCCATGACATTCCTTACACGTAGCACTGATGTCCGTCTCTCTCCACGCTAAAATAATTAACTACCACCAAACATTAAGAGTGTGAAATAATCTGATTCATGTGTCCCTGATTGTGTAACAGCGTCTGTGTCAGAGAACATCTGTGCACCGACCATCTCACACAACATAATGGTTGAATATGGACTCCCAGCTGTGTAAAACTGAAATATCAAGACCTCCATCCATCTTTTACATGTAAAAGAATACTCAATTATAGCTATTGTCATAATTTTCCCATACATGTGTAAATTAATACGCACGAGAAATATTATTATTATTTTCATATCACACATCGGATATTTACAACGTAAAAACAAGATTAAAACATATGGCCACAAAACACATGCCTTGTGATAAATGAACCCCGTAAAGTCGGTGATATGTAGACCCCTGTGAAATATGAACCCTGCAGTGATATACTGACCCTGCTGTGATATATGAACTGCAGTGATATGTAGACCTGTGATATGAACGCGTGATATACTGACCCTGCTGTGATAACTGCAGTGATATGTAGACCTGTGAAATATGAACCCTGCAGTGATATACTGACCCTGCTGTGATATAAACTGCAGTGATATGTAGACCCCTGTGAAATATGAACCCTGCAGTGATATATTGACCCTGCTGTGATATATGAACTGCAGTGATATGTAGACCCCTGTGAAATATGAACCCTGCAGTGATATATTGACCCTGCTGTGATATATGAAACTGCAGTGATATGTAGACCCCTGTGAAATATGAACCCTGCAGTGATATATTGACCCTGCTGTGATATATAAACTGCAGTGATATGTAGACCCCTGTGAAATATGAACCCTGCAGTGATATGTAGACCCCTGTGAAATATGAACCCTGCAGTGATATATTGACCCTGTTGTGATATATGAGCTGCAGTGATATACTGACCCTGCTGTGATATATGAACCCTGCAGTGATAGACTGACCCTGCTGTGATATATGAACCCTGCAGTGATATACTGACCCTGCTGTGATATATGAACCCTGCAGTGATATACTGACCCTGCTGTGATAGATGAACCCTGCAGTGATATACTGACCCTGCTGTGATATATGAACCTGCAGTGATATACTGACCCTGCTGTGATATATGAACCCTGCAGTGATATACTGACCCTGCTGTGATTATGAACCCTGCAGTGATATACTGACCCTGCTGTGATATATGAACCCTGCAGTGATATACTGACCCTGCTGTGATATATGAACCCTGCAGTGATATACTGACCCTGCTGTGATATATGAACCCTGCAGTGATATACTGACCCTGCTGTGATATATGAACCCTGCAGTGATATACTGACCCTGCTGTTATATATGAACCCTGCAGTGATATACTGACCCTGCTGTGATATATGAACCCTGCAGTGATATACTGACCCTGCTGTGATATATGAACCCTGCAGTGATATACTGACCCTGCTGTGATATATGAACCCTGCAGTGATATACTGACCCTGCTGTGATATATGAACCCTGCAGTGATATACTGACCTCACTGCGATATACCAATAACGGATCTCAGGGTGATATATGGATCGCATTATGATACATGGATTATATGTGATGCACATTTCTCACTGTGATAAAAACATCGCATCGTGATACAAAAAAACTGTGTGTAAGTCTGGTGTTGTATAATGCATGTAATGTTAATAAGATTCCACACTTGGTACAACAGTTGAGTTTTACGTGTTGTACTGGTTGATGAATATATCATATTTTTGTACTGGTTAGGTCTTACCTCGAAATTCTTAAAATTAAGTCGTCGATACGGACACACAAGTTTCAAGTCGCGTTCGTTGTTGGTTGAGTTTTCGCGTTGTGCGCTGGCATTCATAGTTGCAAATAACATTCACGTGAAGAAAAAATATGCAAATTAAATAAAAATTATATCAAAGTTGAACATATACGAAAAAAATATGCATATACAAAACAATGTTTGGGTTAGCAAGTAGTTGGTGTTGAGCGTGGCTATGTTATTTACCCTACTAGCAGAGACAAGGAATGCTCACGACATATGGTGGGGGAGGGGAGAGAGAAAAATAAACAGTCAGGCATAGATAAACGAACCACAGGCGGACCTTACCCTTCAGAGACATACCTCTCTGCTTGGCCTGCTCGTAGTCGCTCTTACACACGAGTTTATTGTCCTCCATGAGGTAGAATTCGTCGCCAGTGTTGAGCTGACGCTGGCAGATAACGCAAGCGAAGCAGTGGAGATGGTAGACGTTATCTTGGGCACGGCGGACCACTTGGGTCGGTGGGATGCCTTGCTCACACCCGGAGCACTTAGTGCCGTACCTCCTGTGTTGGTGGGGAGACGTGTTGGGGAGATGTGTTGGCGAGGTGGGAAGACGAGTTGGGGGTGGGAAGACGTGTTGTGGAGGTGGGAAGACGTGTTGGGGTGGGAAGACGTGTTGGGGGGTGGGAAAACGTGTTGTGGAGGTGGGAAGACGTGTTGGGGTGGGAAGACGTGTTGGGGAGGTGGGAAGACGTGTTGGGGTGGTGGGAAGACGTGTTGGGGTGGGAAGACGTGTTGGGGAGGTGGGAAAACGTGTTGGGGTGGGAAGACGTGTTGGGGTGGGAAGATGTGTTGTGGAGGTGGGAAGACGTGTTGGGGTGGGAAGACGTGTTGGGGTGGGAAGACGTGTTGTGGAGGTGGGAAGACGTGTTGGGGGTGGGAAGACGTGTTGTGGGGGGTGGGGAAGGACGTGTGGGGTGGGAAAGACTGTTGGTGGTGAGGAAAAATTTTAGTACAACGGAGGTGGAAGAGTATGTTGGGGTGGAGACGTGTGAGTGGGAAGTAGTGTTGGGGAGGTGGAAAGGTGTTAGGATGGTGGAGTAATGCGTGTTGGGGTGGGAAGACGTGTAGGTAGGTGGGGAGACGTGTTAGGAGGTGGGGTAGACGTGTGGGTGGTGGGAAGACGTGTTGGGGTGGGAAGGATGTGTTGGGAGTGGAACGTGACGTAGCAGAGCAGGTGCAAAATGTGGTGTTGATGGAATATATTTAGATTCAGACGTGTAAGTGTAATATTGTGGAGACGTGATTTGAATATGTTAGGTAGGTGATATGGTGGAGTAATGGTAGTGGTGGTAATGGTTGGTAGAGGTGGTAATAGTGGTGGTGTAATGGGTGGCGGGGTGAGAAGGCGGTGGTGGCGATGGCGGTGGTGGTGAGAAGTAATAATGGTGGATGGTAAGGTGTGGTGAAACGGTGGTGAGTAATAGTGGTAGTGGTAATAAGTGATGGTGGTAGTGGTAATAATGAGGGTGGTAGCAGTAATGGTGGTAGTAATGGTGTAGAAGAGTGTAATAGGGTAAGGAGAGGGACGGTGAGAGGAGGTGGGGGAGAGGAGGGACGGGGAGGAGGTGACGGGGAGAGGAGTAGACGGAGTGACGGATGGGTGAGAAGAGGATGGGAGGAGGGAGTGAGGGGGAGAGAAAAAATAATAATTATAATTTCTCGTGTAATGTAACTTTGTTGATATAAAGGTAATTTACTGTCGTATAATAAAGGTAATTTACGGGTGTATAATAAGGTAATTGTACTGTCTATAATGGATAATTTACTGTTAATAAGATAATTACGGGCTATATAAGATAATCTTACTGATCATAATAATCTTAGTCAATAATAATATGTTTCGGTTATAAACACAAATTTCAAACTTTACATTAGCTTACGTTTAAAAAATTGTGGTAGTTTTAATAAGGTTTTATTATAATAATAATAATAATAATATAATAATAAGTATAATAATATAATAATAAAATTGGTAAATTATTTGAAAATATTATTTTTCCAGTTAACACAAACTGAGGAAAAGATACATTGTAGTGAGGAAATGACAAGGTGACAGAAAGTGAACATGCAAATGAATCATGAAAGTGAGGAATCATACAATGTGAACATGACAAGTGAGGATAATGAAAGTGAATATTATGTCAAGTGATAACATACAAGGTGAACATGACATAGTGAGGAAATGACAAGTGAATATGACAAGTGAAGGAAATACATTGAACATGACAAGTGAGGACATGACAAGTGAACATGATCAAGTGAGGAACATGACAAGTAAACATGACAATGAACATGAAAGTTTTAAAACTTACAAGTACACAAGTGAAGAACATAAGTGAAGACATACAAGTGACGATACAAACTGAAGTAACAAGACAAGTGAACATGACAAGTGAAAAACATCACAAGTGAGGAACATGACAAGTGTAGAACATGACAAGTGAACATCACAAGTGAAGAACATAACAAGTGAACATCACAAGTGAAGAACATAACAAGTGAACATCACAAGTGAAGAACATAACAAGTGAACATCACAAGTGAAGAACACAAGTGAAGAACATGACAAGTGAAGAACATGACAAGTGAACATCACAAGTGAAGAACATGATAAGTGAAGAACATGACAAGTGAACATCACAAGTGAAGAACATGACAAGTGAACATCACAGGTGAAGAACATGACAAGTGAACATCACAAGTGAAGAACATGACAAGTGAACTCACAATGAAGAACATGACAAGTGAACATCACAAGTGAAGAACATAACAAGTGAAGAACATGACAAGTGAACATCACAAGTGAAGAACATCACAAGTGAAGAACATGACGAGTGAACATCACAAGTGAAGAACATAACAAGTGAACATCACAAGTGAAGAACATGACAAGTGAACATCACAAGTGAAGAACATCACAAGTGAAGAACATGACAAGTGAACATGACAAGTGAAAACAAGTGAAGAAAATGAATCATCACAAGTGAGAACATGACAAGTGAGAACATGACAAGTGAGGAACATGACAAGTGAACATCACAAGTGAGGAACATGACAAGTGAAGAACATGACAAGTGAACATCACAAGTGAAGAACATGACAAGTGAACATCACAAGTGAAGAACATGACAAGTGAACATCACAAGTGAGGAACATGACAAGTGAAGAACATGACAAGTGAACATCACAAGTGAAGAACATGACAAGTGAATATCACAAGTGAAGAACATGACAAGTGAACATGACAAGTGAAGAACATCACAAGTGAAGAACATGACAAGTGAACATCACAAGTGAAGAACATGAAAAGTGAACATCACAAGTGAAGAACATGACAAGTGAAGAACATGACAAGTGAACATCACAAGTGAAGAACATGACAAGTGAACATCACAAGTGAAGAACATGACAAGTGAATATGACAAGTGAAGAACATGACAAGTGAACATGATAAGTGAAGAACATGACAAGTGAAGAACATGACAAGTGAACATCACAAGTGAAGAACATGACAAGTGAACATCACAAGTGAAGAACATGACAAGTGAAGAACATGACAAGTGAACATCACAAGTGAAGAACATGACAAGTGAAGAACATGACAAGTGAACATCACAAGTGAAGAACATGACAAGTGAACATCACAAGTGAAGAACATGACAAGTGAACATGATAAGTGAAGAACATGACAAGTGAAGAACATGACAAGTGAAGAACATGACAAGTGAACATGACAAGTGAAGAACATGACAAGTGAACATGACAAGTGAAGAACATGACAAGTGAAGAACATGACACGTGAACATGACAAGTGAAGAACATGACACGTGAACATGACAAGTGAAGAACATGACAAGTGAACATCACAAGTGAAGAACATGACAAGTGAAGAACATGACAAGTGAACATCACAAGTGAAGAACATGACAAGTGAACATGACAAGTGAAGAACATGACAAGTGAAGAACATGACAAGTGAAGAACATGACAAGTGAAGAACATGACAAGTGAAGAACATGACAAGTGAACATCACAAGTGAAGAACATGACAAGTGAACATGACAAGTGAAGAACATGACAAGTGAAGAACATGACAAGTGAAGAACATGACAAGTGAAGAACATGACAAGTGAAGAACATGACAAGTGAACATCACAACACCACACATGAAAATCCTACATCTTTCTAAATCAGAATTCAGGGAACTTTGACTCCACTGTTTCCAACTGTTCACTAGATGTCAACATTGCCCTACTTTAATCTATTTATTTATACCCCTTTTTCTACTGGTATGCTTCAGTGGTATCCCCCTGGGTTCTCAATCTATCTTTCGAAAGATTTCCATTCACTGGATCAATATTGTCATTCTCTAAAACATGTATATCAATTCCATAGTATGGAGAACAAGAGTTAGCCTTATAATTTAAACAAAGTCTTACTAATAGCTGTTAGTCTTATTACGGACACCTAGACACTGTCTTGGCTTCAGACTTACGCTTACCACAACTCCCATTTTTTTGCGTTCTGTTTTTTGAAGCCATAGGGGTTGTTTTCATTCCCAAGGATGTGAATGTTGCACTTTTCCACATTAGCCATTTTTCCAACCAGAAAATGACTCTGTCTAAATCATTCTGAAGTTTAATGATATCGGCCTACTTTTGCGCTTTCAGTGAATTTACATATATCATTTTTATTCCTTTAAGATTATATACAAGGGGTCCAAAACTTATCCTTGTGAAACGCCACTTGTGACTGGTTCCCATTCTGATTTCAGCCCAGTTAAGTGAATTCTGTGCTGGCTGTTTGTCAGCCTCCACAAATGAACCATTTTTCCTCCTATACCATGTGCTGCCGCTGTCTTGAACAGTTTTTTTGTGTTTACTCTATCAAAAACTTTACTGATATGCCAATAAACATAATATTCTTTATCGTGATCTACTGCCACTACCACCATCTCTTACTCTCCCCTTCAGCAGGACCTACCTGAAGAAGTCTTCCTTGCAGTAGACTTGCTGGTTCCTGGCGAAGCACTTGTCAGTGAGTTGGGCACCACAGTCGGCACACTTGAGGCACCGGGAGTGCCACGTCCTCTCCAGCACCTTTAAGATGAACCGGTCCAAGATGGCTTCAGAACACCCGGCACACTTGGGAATCGTCGCTGTAACAACAACAACAACATACACACGTTACACAACTTTTACAACAGTCAAACTAACAAGCTAACAACTGTTATCCTATCTCCATACCGTTTACGACCTAAGAATTGTTATGCCATGTCAGCTCATCCTAAAATATCCTAGCAATATCTAAGCTCTTTTAAAGCCTAGTCCAATCTAAACCACTAACCGTATCTAGGATGCTACCTATAATCCTTGTACCTATTTACAGCCAGGGGAACTATTTACAGCTAGGTGAACATGGGCAACAGGTGCATCTCGACTCGCCTGTGATTCAACCCAACTACTATCAATATTCTAAGTATTAAAGCTAAAATATTATAGATACATATATGGATGATGGCTTATGATTGAGGGTCGAGAATAGAGAGCTAAACAACGTTCTAGAAGAGTTAAATAGCTTAGTTACATCCATAAAATTTACAGTTCGGCTTGAAGAAAAAGTTCATTAATATTTCCAGAGTTTTTAATTATTAAAAGAATTTAAGAATTTCGGTTGAAATCATAAAGGAAGCCAACGAATGTGCGTGCATTCGTACATTATTATTCGTCATATAACAGAGTTAAGTGTTCAGAGTTCTTCTCCATGTTCTTTAGCACTCTGCGTTTTTGAACTCACTTCACATACGAAGATCCCCCCCAAAAAACTTTATTCATAAATCATTAAAAACTTGAAGGAGCAGATTGCCAAGACAAGAAACTCACAACCCACGTTAAAAGTTCATCTCTACTCACAAACTTTAACATCAGTATTGCATTTAAAACTCCAAATTTGATATTTTTTTTTTTACTAAAAATGCCAATGACTGTACAAACCTGAAACAAATTTTACGTAGGACAGACTGGAAGAAATCTGGAATTCAGATTTTTAACCCAAACATAACATCAGGGCTTGCCATAAGTGCAATGCTGTTTATCCCTGTTATTATTTTAATCATAAGAAAGCGCTAAACCCACAAGGGTTATGCAGTGCTGCAGTTTATTCCTGTACAATACTTTAAACACCCTACTGATTAAACACTGAGAAAGGTGTTCCATGCAATTTTGTGTACTGAATAATATTACTGATTGCAATGAGAGCATAAGTCCTTCCTCCTCTCGTGTGTATACTGACTCCCTTACCTTCATGTGTCAGTGGGTGACTAGTTAATGGTCCAAGTCGGACCGAAAAGTAGCCGTAAGTTTGTATGTGCGGGTTATTTGTGTATTGTTCCAGTCACGGTATTGTTCCAGTCACGGTATTGTTGCAGTCACGGTACCGTACCAGTCACGGTATTGTTGCAGTCACGGTACCGTACCAGTCACGGTATTGTACCAGTCACGGTATTGTACCGTTTTGTTCTTTATGACCTAGAAGTGTTCATAAAAGAATATGAGAAATTTTAAACAATGGTGACATACCAGTCTTGACCTGACTGAGTTTAGTTTAAAAGACTCGGGTACACGAGTCAAGTAACTCTCCTCTGGTAATGTCACCTCCACACTGGAAACACATCTGAATTTATAACGCATCTGACCTACGCATGGTATGTGCGTGTGCTTGTTGCATCTGTCCAGTATACAACACGCACCTTATTGTTGCCTACACCATTAATCCCTGAGAATGTGACTCAGAGCTCACGAGAGCACGTGGAATTAAGTCATCTTTCACTATTATATATATATATATATATATATATATATATATATATATTATATATATATATATATATATATATATATATATATATATATATATATATATAAAATGCATACAAGATAATCACAGAAAACACTTACTATCCAAAAGCCGGATATTCATTTATACATTTATATATTTATATATACGCACGGAAATCGTTATGTGTGTGTGTGTGTATTTTTTTTTTTTGTGTGTGTGTGTACTCACCCATATGTGGTTGCAGGGGTCGATTCATAGCTGCTGGCCCTGCCTCTTCATTGGTCGATACTAATTCACTCTCTCCCTGCTCCATGAGCTTTATCATACCTCAAATAAAAGCTATGTATGGAACTTGCTTCCACTACTTCACTCTCCAGTTAATTCCACTCCCTGACAACTCTACGGCTAAAGAAATACTTCCTAACATCCCCATGACTCATCTGGGTTTTCAGCTTCCAGCAGTATCCCCTTGTTCCTGTGTGTGTGAGTGTGTGTGTGTGTGTGTGTGTGTGTGTGTGTGTGGTGTGTGTGTGTGTGTGTGTGTGTGTGTGTACTCACCTAGTTGTACTCACCTAGTTGAGGTTGCAGGGGTCGAGTCCAAGCTCCTGGCCCAGCCTCTTCACTGATCGCTACTAGGTCACTCTCCCTGAACCGTGAGCTTTATCATACCTCTGCTTAAAGCTATGTATGGATCCTGCCTCCACTACATCGCTTCCCAAACTATTCCACTTACTGACTACTCTGTGGCTGAAGAAATACTTCCTAACATCCCTGTGATTCATCTGTGTCTTCAACTTCCAACTGTGTCCCCTTGTTACTGTGTCCAATCTCTGAACATCCTGTCTTTGTCCACCTTGTCAATTCTCTCAGTATTTTGTATGTCGTTATCATGTCCCCCCTATCTCTCCTGTCCTCCAGTGTCGTCAGGTTGATTTTCCTTAACCTCTCCTCGTAGGACATACCTCTTAGCTCTGGGACTAGTCTTGTTGCAAACCTTTGCACTTTCTCTAGTTTCTTTACGTGCTTGGTTAGGTGTGGGTTCCAAACTGGTGCCGCATACTCCAATATGGGCCTAACGTACACGGTGTACAGGGTCCTGAACGATTCCTTATTACGATGTCGGAATGCTGTTCTGAGGTTTGCTAGACGCCCATATGCTGCAGCAGTTATTTGGTTGATGTGCGCTTCAGGAGATGTATGTATGTGTGTGTGTGTGTGTGTGTGTGTGTGTGTGTGTGTGTGTGTGTGTGTGTGTGTGTGTGTGTGTGTGTGTGTGTGTGTGTATGTCTGCGTGTATTACTGTACATTACGGGGTACCGTGAGTGTTCCACGACCCTCCAGTGACCTTCCTAAGCATCTGACGTACCCCTGGACGTGTACATCCACGCTCTAGGCTGTTGGTCTTAGGAAGCTTTAATGTTAGTAGCTAAGGTTCTGTGTTTAATATGTCCCTGAAAGATAGTGGTGTCAGATACAACTCTATACACAAGTGATGTTAGACTCTAGAGGATAACAATCAAACGTGACGGGGCTGGAACAAATCAAGATCAACATGGAAGGAGACTGCAGACACAGACACTGCATGTAAGAGTCTAGACATGTAGAAGCCCCTAATAGGCGAAGTGGGGAAAAGGTGAAGTTTGAGTAGGTGATGTCTGGAGCAATAGTGATGAGAGATTAGGTGATTGGGGAGCCAGGAATGAGCTTGCCTAAGTCTACTAAGAACGGTCTTTACCAACCAGACTCCAGGACCATTTTGTAATTAAGGGAAAAACCAATCTTAAAAAAATGTTTCTGGGTTGGTAAAAGTTTTTTTTTTTTTTTTTGAATAAGATACGCAGAGAGAGAGAGAGAGAGAGAGAGAGAGAGAAGAGGGAGAAAAGAGAGAGAGAGAGAGAGGGGAGAGAGAGAGAGAGAAGAGAGAGAGAGAGTCAGAGACAGAGAGACACAGAGACAGAGAATCTAGGCTGCACAATATCTTTCCAGAGATCAGATTATATCTTTAGAGACAGCATCTATATCTGGGCCCCCCTCATCCACATCAGCCCTCCCCCTTCCCACAAAACCCCACACTACCCCACACCCACCACAGGTGCTTCACCCCACTGCCCCCTCCCCCCACCCCACCAAATAACTGCTATCCATTCACATCACGTCTACAACAGTAAACATGTGTAACACTTGGATACCAAAATTTCCGAAACGTATCGCCTACACCGCAGGCATTACCTAGTAACCGTAGCTACCAAGTACCCCCTCCCCTTTCCTCCCCTACCCCACTGGCATATAAATAAGGAGTTACGAGAAGGAATAAACAAAAAATACACGCCAACGTGATATCCATTGTCATTAAACTGGATATGTATACAAATATACAGAGAAGAATTATCTGGACAAGTGAGAAGCTGAGCAGCTTCCAATACGGGTACGACAGGATAGGGTAGGATAGAGTGGGAATGTATAAAGAAAAACAAGGTGGAAAGTGACAGGAGAGACCAAGAACTGTGAATCGACCCCCGACATCAACAACAAGGAAAGTACACAGATATATATACAAGGGATCAATGGTACAGTGGTTAGAGTGAACAAGAGAAAGGACCCGGGTTGGATGCCTAAGCAGATTAAGCTGTATAGACACATGTCTATTGACTAGTTGAAACAGCTGCACCGTGTCTTCCTGTGCAGATGATACTAGAATCTGCATATAACTTTCATCCACTGAGGACACGGTAAATCTCCAAGGGGATATAAACCAAGTTATCCAATGGGCAACGGAAAACATTATGAGGTTCAACAACAATTTAACCCCTTTTGAAACTTTAGGAAATAAAACTAGAACTGAGTTTACTGCAAATCTATACCAATAGTGGTAATCGTGAAAAACTTGTGAGTGTTAAGCAGAAGATCTCACTTCAAAAATCAACCCAAAATTCATATCACACTGTCTGAGGAAAATGATAGATGAGATTATGAAAACTTTCACAAATGGGATAAGAATGATGACCTTCAAAACTTTGTTCTTTCTAGCTTAGATTACTGCTATCACTAACACTTCCATTATCAAAGCAGGTGAAATTGCAGATCTTGAAAATGTACAGAGAACCTTCACTGAACACATAATTTCAGTCAAGCACTTTAATACTCGGAATGTTTGCAGTCTCTTGACTTGTACTCCCTGGAGCTCAGGCGAGAGAGATACATCATAATCTACACCTGGAAAATCCTAAACGGACTGGTCCCAAGTCTGCACATAGAAATTCCTCTATACGAAAGCAACAGACTGGGCAGATGATGCAGTATTCCCCCAATGAAAAGTAGGAG